ACCAGTACCGACCAGTACAGACCAGTAAAACCCAGTACAGCCCAGTACAAACCAGTAAAACCTATAAAAATCGGTACAGACCGGTACAAACCAGTACAGACCAGTACAGACCAGTATGGACCAGGATAAACCCATATAAACAAGTAAAACTCAGTAAAAACCAGTATGGACCAGGATAAACCCATATAAACAAGTAAAACTCAGTAAAAACCAGTATGGACCAGGATAAACCCATATAAACAAGTAAAACTCAGTAAAAACCAGTATGGACCAGGATAAACCCATATAAACAAGTAAAACTCAGTAAAAACCAGTATGGACCAGGATAAACCCATATAAACAAGTAAAACTCAGTAAAAACCAGTATGGACCAGGATAAACCCATATAAACAAGTAAAACTCAGTAAAAACCAGTATGGACCAGGATAAACCCATATAAACAAGTAAAACTCAGTAAAAACCAGTATGGACCAGGATAAACCCATATAAACAAGTAAAACTCAGTAAAAACCAGTATGGACCAGGATAAACCCATATAAACAAGTAAAACTCAGTAAAAACCAGTATGGACCAGGATAAACCCATATAAACAAGTAAAACTCAGTAAAAACCAGTATGGACCAGGATAAACCCATATAAACAAGTAAAACTCAGTAAAAACCAGTATGGACCAGTATAGACCAGTATAGACCAGTATGGACCAGTAAGAACCAGTATAAACCCGTATAAACCAGTAAAAACTTAATAAAAACCAGTATGAACCAGTATAAACCAGTACAGACCAGTATGGACCAGTATAAACCCATATAAACAAGTAAAACTCAATAAAAACCAGTAAAAACCAGTATGGACCAGTATAAACCAAGATGGACCAGTACAGCCAATACAAACCAGTACCGACCAGTACAAACCAGTACAAACCAGTACCGACCAGTACAGACCAGTAAAACCCAGTACAGCCCAGTACAAACCAGTAAAACCTATAAAAATCGGTACAGACCGGTACAAACCAGTACAGACCAGTACAGACCAGTACACACCAGTACAGACCAGTACACACCAGTACACACCAGTACAGACCAGTACAAACCAGTACAGACCAGTACAGACCAGTACAGACCAGTACACACCAGTACAGACCAGTACAGACCAGTATAAACAGGTACAAGCCAGTACAAACCAGTAAAACCCAGTAAGAGCCGCTGGAACGGGATGGGGCTCGGGACTACATTACCCAGCGTGCACCCCGCGCGTTTCCGGGAGGAGGGGCGTGGCCTGGCCCAATGAGGCGCGGCCTGATTGGCGGCGGCGAAGGCGGGAATGCGGAGGGGGCGTGGTCTCGTGAGGCGGAGGGGGTGTGGCCTCGTGAGGCGGCGCGGCCCGGGAGTTGCGCGGCGGCGGCGGCGGCGCCGGGCCCGGTTCTGGCCCGGTTCGACCCCGGTCCTGGCCCGGCTCCGGCCCCGGCGGAGCCCCCGCGAGCCCCGCAGGTGAGCGGGGAGAGGGGCAGGAGGAGGAGGAAGAGGAGGAGGAAGCGGCGGGGCCGCGGCGGCGGCGCCTGCGCGGGGCGGGCCTGGAGGAGGCGGGGCCTGCAGGGGCTGAGGGAAAGGGGCGGGGCGGGGCCTATAGGGAGGGGCGGGGCTTACTGGGCTTAGTCACGCCCCCTGTTTGGCCATGCCCCCCGTTGGGGTTGGGGTCTCACCTGCACACCTGGGATGGGGCTGGGGTCTCACCTGTCCCCCCATTTCAGGTCTGGGGTCTCACCTGGCCCCAGGTCTGCCCCATGCTGTGACTGGTGTCTTACCTGTTTCCATGATTTGGGTCTGGGGTCTCACCTGCCCACCTGGGCTGGGTCTGGGCTCTCACCTGTCCCTGTATGCCGGGTTTGGGGTCTCACCTGTCCCCCCGTGTCGGGATTGGGGTCTCACCTGTGCCTGTGTCTCACATCTGGGCTCTCACCTGCCCACCTGGGCTGGGTCTGGGCTCTCACCTGCCCCCCATGTTTCATGTCTGGGCTCTCACCTGTCCTTGTCTTAGGTCTGTTCTCTCACCTGTGTCAGGTGCAGGCTCTCACCTGTCCCCGGTCTGTGCTCTCACCTGTCCCCGGTCTGGGCTCTCACCTGTGTCAGGCCTGGGCTCTCACCTGCGTGAGGTGCAGGCTCTCACCTGTCCCCATGTTTAATATCTGGGCTCTCACCTGTCCCCGGTCTGGACTCTCACCTGTCCCAGGTGAGGCTCTCACCTGCGGCCGTGTCCCCCCAGGTGCGGCCATGGCGGGCGCGGCGCCCCCCGCAGGTGCCCCCGAGCAGCCCTTCACCTGCCGGGAGTGCGGCAAATCCTTCCGCTGGTCCTCGCGCCTGGCGCATCACCTGCGCAGCCACACAGGTGAGCGCCCCTACAAGTGCCCCGAGTGCCCCAAGGCCTTCAAGGGCTCCTCCGCCCTCCTCTACCACCTGCGGGGCCACACAGGTGAGCGCCCCTACACCTGCGCCACCTGCGGCAAGAGCTTCAAGCGCTCCTCGCTGCTGCAGACTCACCTGCGCGTGCACACGGGGCTGCGCGCCTTCAGGTGCGCCCAGTGCGGCCTCACCTTCAAGTGGGCGTCGCACTACCAGTACCACCTGCGGCAGCACTCAGGTGAGCGGCCCTACCGCTGCCCCACCTGCCCCAAGGCCTTCAAGAACTCCTCCAGCCTGCGGCGCCACCGCCACACCCACACGGGTGAGCGCCCGCACACCTGCGGCACCTGCGGCAAGGGCTTCGCCCAGGCCACCAACCTGCGGCAGCACCTGCGCGTGCACACGGGCGAGCGGCCGTACACCTGCGGCACCTGCGGCAAGAGCTTCACGCACTCGTCCAACCTGCACCTGCACCGGCGCACGCACTCGGCGGCGCGGCCCTTCCGCTGCCCCGCCTGTCCCAAGGCTTTCGTCATGGCCGCCTACCTGCAGCGGCACCTGCGCACGCACGGCCCCGCCCCGCGCCGCGCACCTGGCGCTGCCGCACCTGCGCCGCCGCCGCCCGCCGCCGCCGCTTACCTGCTGCTGCCCGTTCCAGGTGTCGCCTCCCCCCGCAAGGTGCTGCTGCTGCCCGGCCCCGCCCGGCCGCACCTGGCGCAGGTGGGCAAGGGGCAGCGCACCTGGCAGAGCGTCCTGCTCGTACCTGGCGCCGGGCAGGAGGGGGCGGCAGCGGGGCTGCAGCTGCAGGTGGCTGAGGTGGCAGGGGTGACAGGTGTGACAGGTATAACAGGTGTGGCAGGTGTGGGTGTGACAGGTATAGCAGGTGTGACGGGTGTGACAGGTATAACAGGTGTGGCAGGTGCAGGTGTGACAGGTGTGACAGGTATAACAGGTGTGGCAGGGGCAGGGGTGACAGGGGTAGGGGTGGCAGGGGTGACAGGCATAAGAGGTGTCACGGCCCCGCCCCGCAGTGCCCCGCCTGCGCCGCGCCCTTGGCCTCGCACACCTGCCTGCAGCGGCACCTGCAGGGCCCCGCCCCGCCCGCCGCCGCCTCACCTGAGCCGCTCTGGAGGCCGCTGGGGCTCACCTGCGCCGAGCAAGAGGTGACGGCGACGGCGGCCCCGCCCCCGGCCCCGCCCCACCGCTGCCTCACCTGCGGCAAGAGCTTCAAGAACGGCTCGGGGCTGGCGCGACACCTGCCCGGCCACGAGCGGCCCAGGTGCGCCGCGGCCCCCAGAGCCCCGCCTCCAGGTGTCGCCTCCCCCCGCAAGGTGCTGCTGCTGCCCGGCCCCGCCCGGCCGCACCTGGCGCAGGTGGGCAAGGGGCAGCGCACCTGGCAGAGCGTCCTGCTCGTACCTGGCGCCGGGCAGGAGGGGGCGGCAGCGGGGCTGCAGCTGCAGGTGGCTGAGGTGGCAGGGGTGACAGGTGTGACAGGTATAACAGGTGTGGCAGGTGCAGGTGTGACAGGTGTAGGGGTGGCAGGTGTGACAGGCATAAGAGGTGTCACAGGCATCCCAGGTGTAGGTGTGACAGGTGTTGCAAGTGGAGGTGTGACAGGTGTGACGGGTGTGACAGGTATAACAGGTGTGGCAGGTGCAGGTGTGACAGGTGTAGGGGTGGCAGGTGTGACAGGCATAAGAGGTGTCACAGGCATCCCAGGTGTAGGTGTGACAGGTGTTGCAAGTGGAGGTGTGACAGGTGTGACGGGTGTGACAGGTATAACAGGTGTGGCAGGTGCAGGTGTGACAGGTGTAGGGGTGGCAGGTGTGACAGGCATAAGAGGTGTCACAGGCATCCCAGGTGTAGGTGTGACAGGTGTTGCAAGTGGAGGTGTGACAGGTGTGACGGGTGTGGGTGTCACAGGGCTCACAGGTGTGAGAGGGGTGACAGGCGCAGGTGTCACAGGGCTCACAGGTGTGACAGGTGTCCAGCTCCAGGTGCTGCCGGTGGCCCCAGAGGTCACCAATGTCCAGGTGCAAGGCGGGGAGCTGACAGGTGTGGCAGGTGTGACAAGTGCAGGTGTGACAGGTGTGACCGGTGTGACAGGTCTGTCAGGGGTCACAGGTGTAGGTGTGACTGGTGTGACAGGAGCAGGTGTGACAGGTGCAGGTGTGACAGGTGCAGGTGTGACAGGGGTGCGGCTCCAGGTGCTCCCGGTACCCTCGGAGGTGACCAATGTCCAGCTCCAGGTGCTGCCAGCACCACCTGAGGTCACCGGTGTCCAGCTGCAGGCAGGTGAGGTGAGCAATGTCCAGCTCCAGGTGTTGCCATCGCTACCTGAGGTCACCAATGTCCAGCTCCAGGTGCTGCCACCACCTTCAGGTGGCACAGGTGTCCAGCTCCAGGCAGGTGAGGTCACCAACGTCCACCTCCAGGCCCTGCCGCTGACCTCAGGTGTCACCAACGTCCAGCTCCAGGTGCTGCCACCACCCTCAGGTGGCACAGGTGTCCAGCTCCAGGTGCTTCCAGCACCACCTGAGGTGACCAATGTCCAGCTCCAGGCCACCGAGGTGCCCGGTGTCCACCTGGAGACCGCGGAGGTGACCGATGTCCACCTGGAGATCTCAGAGGTGCCAAGTGCCCACCTGGACATGTCAGAGGTGCTCAGTGTCCACCTGGAGACCACCGAGGTGACCGCTGTCCACCTGGAGACCTCAGAAGTGACCGATGTCCACCTGGACGCCTCAGAGGTGACCAATGTCCACCTGGACACCTCAGAGCTGCGCAGTGCTCACCTGAAAACCTCAGAGGTGACCAATGAGCAGCTGGACACCTCAGAGGTGACCGATGTCCACCTGGACACCTCAGAGGTGACCGCTGTCCACCTGGAGACCTCAGAGGTGACCGATGTCCACCTGGACACCTCAGAGGTGACCGATGTCCACCTGGACACCTCAGAACTGCCCAGTGTTCACTTGGAGACCGCAGAGGTGACCGACGCCCACCTGGACAGGTCAGAGGTGACCGATGTCCACTTAGAGACCGCAGAGGTGACCGATGCCCACCTGGACAGGTCAGAGGTGACCAATGTCCACCTGGAGACCTCAGAGGTGATCGATGTCCACCTGAAGACCTCAGAACTGCCCAGTGTCCACCTGGAACCCACAGAGGTGACCGATGCCCACCTGGACACCTCAGAGGTGACCAGTGTCCACCTGGAGACCACAGAGGTGACCAATGTCCACTTAGAGACCGCAGAGGTGACCGATATCCACCTGGACACGTCAGAGGTGACCGATGCCCACCTGGACATGTCGGAGGTGCCCGATGCCCACCTGGAACCCACAGAGGAGGTGACCGATGTCCACGTCCATCTGGAGGCCACAGAGCTGCCCAATGTCCACCTGGAGACCTCAGAGGTGACCGCTGCCCACCTGGAGACCACGGAGATGACCAGTGCCCACCTGCAGACCAATGAGATGACCAGTGCCCACCTGGAGACCAGTGAGATGACCAGTGCCCACCTGGACACCTCAGAGGTGACCGATGCCCACCTGGAGACGTCAGAACTGCCCAGTGCTCACCTGGAGACCATGGAGGTGCCCAGTGCCCACCTGGAGACATCAGAGGTGCCCTCTGACCACCTGGAGACCCCTGAGGAGGTGCCCGGTGCCCACCTGGACACCTTGGCGATGACCAGTGCCCACCTGGAGGTGCCCGGTGCCCACCTGGAGCCCACAGAGGTGCACCTGGAGCCCCCCTAGGAGGTGCCTAGTGCCCACCTGGAGACCTTGGGAGGTGCCCAGTGCCCACCTGGACATGTCAGAGGTGTCCAGTGCCCACCTGGAGGTGCCTGGTGCCCACCTGGACACACCTTGAAGGTGCCCAGTGCCCACCTGGAGGTGCCCAGTGCCCACCTGGGCACGCCTTGGAGGTGCCTGGTGCCCACCTGGAACCCCCCAGGTGCTCCTGGTCCAGGGGACCCCGTGCCCTGCCCCGTGCACACCTGTGCCCGCAGGTGAGGGGTGCCAGGGGTACCTCGGGGGTACCTGGGGTACCTGAGCTCACCTGCCCAGGTGAGGGGTGCCCGGGGGTACCTGGGGGTCCCTGGGGGGTGCCAGGGGGGTACCTGGGGTACTCCGTACTGGTTTATACTGGTTCCATACTGGTCTGTACTGGTCCGCACCGGTCCATACTGGTCTGTACCGGTCCGCACTGGTTCCATACTGGTCCATACTGGTCCGCACCAGTCCATACTGGTTTATACTGGTCCGTACTGGTCCGCACTGGGAGCTCTGCTCGCTCCCCGCTCTGACCCGGGAGGAATTCGGGGCCGCCCCTCCCCCCCCCGGCCACCTGTGGCTGCGCTAATTAGCGGTGATTAATTACCGGGATTGATTACCGGGGAGTGATTAATGGCCGGCAGGAATGATTAATGAGCCGGGATTGATTACCGGGGGTGATTAATTGCCATGAGGAATGATTAATGACCGGCAGGAATAATTAATGACCGGGACCAATTATTAATTACCAGGGAATTCTTAATGAGCAGGGAATGATTAATTATTAGGATGAATGACTAATTACCAGGGAATTATTAATTACCAGGGAATTATTAATTACAGGAATGATTAATTACTAAGATGAATTATTAATTACCAGGGAATGATTAATTACGGGAATGATTAGTTACCGGGGATGGTCTGTGGCGGCAGGGCGGGGGTTAATTAGCGGCGGGCGTTAATTACCGGCGCTGTTAATGAGCCGCGGCTCGGCCCGACAGGGGCGGGATGGACTGGGATGAATTATTAATTACTGGGTGTGGTTAATTACCGGGAATAATTGATTACCTTGGAATGATTAATTACGGAGTAGTGATTAATTACCAGGGAATGATTAATGACCATGAATGATTAATGACCAAGATGACTAATGAGCGGGCTGAGCTGCCGCAGGGGTTAATTAGAGGGGATGATTAATGACAGGGGATGATTAATGACCGGGGCTGCTACAGGGGTTAATTAGCGGGGATGATTAATGACCAGGATGATTAATGACCAGGAATGATTAATGAGCGGGACTCCCGCAGGGGTTAATTAGCGGGGATGATTAATGATCAGGATGATTAATGACCAGAGCTGCTACAGGGGTTAATTAGCAGGAATGATTAATGACAGGGGATGATTAATGACAGGGATGATTAATGACCGGAGCTGCTACAGGGGTTAATTAGCGGGGATGATTAATGATCAGGATGATTAATGACCAGAGCTGCTACAGGGGTTAATTAGCAGGAATGATTAATGACAGGGGATGATTAATGACAGGGATGATTAATGACCGGAGCTGCTACAGGGGTTAATTAGCGGGGACTCTCCCCGCGCTGTCCCCGCGCTGTCGCCGCGCAGGTGACAATCCCGGCGGGGCGGTGGCACCGCGGGCACGGGAAACTCTGAGTCACAACCGCGGGGCCAGCGGGGGGGACACGGACAGGGGACAGCGGGGACACCTGGGGACAGCCACAGCGCCCGGACACAGGTGGGACACCTGCGACACCCCGGGGACAGCTGGGGCACCCCCCGGGCCACCCTTGGGGACAGCTGAGGGACCCTGGGGACAGCTGGGCCACCCTCGGCGACACTTGGGGACACTCGGGGCCATCCGGGCCCCCTTGGGGACAGCGGGGGGACGTTGGGGACACCCTGGGGACGGTGGGGGGGGACCCTGGGGCACCCTTGGGGACAGCTGGGGGACCCCGGGGACAGCTGGGGGACACCACCCCTGGGGCCCCTTGGGGACAGCGGGGACACCCCGGGGACAGCTGGGGGCACCCTGGGGCACTCTGGTGACATCTGTGGGACCCTGGGGACACTCGGGGCCACCCCTGGGCCCTTCTTGGGGACAGCTGGGGGACCCTTGGGGACAGCTGGGCCACCCTGGGGACAGCTGGGGACACTCGGGGCCACCTGAGCCCCCCTTGGGGACAGCTGGGGGACCCTTGGGGACAGCTGGGCCACCCTGGGGACAGCTGGGGGACCCTTGGGGACAGCTGAGCCACCCTGGGGACAGCTGGGGACACTCGGGGCCACCTGAGCCCCCCTTGGGGACAGCTGGGGGACCCTTGGGGACAGCTGGGGGACCCTTGGGGCACCCTGGGGACAGCTGGGCCCCTCTTGGGGACCCTAGGGACACTCGGGGCCACCCCCACCCCCGGGGCCACCTGGGCACTGGTGGCACTGACCTATCCTAGTGTGTTCCCTGTCCCAGGTGTGTCTGTGCCTGTCCCAGGTGTGTTACCTGTGCAGGGCTGTTACCTATCCAGCTGTGTTCCCTGACCCAGCTGTGTTCCCTGTCCAGGTATGTCTGTCCTTGTCCCAGGTGTGTCTGTCCCTGTCCAGGTGTGTTCCCTGACCCAGCTGTTACCTGTGCAGGTGTGGCCCAGGTGTGTTCCCTGTCCAGGGGTGTTCGTCCCTGACCCAGCTGTGTTCCCTGTCCAGGTGTGTTCCCTGTCCAGGTGTGTTCCCTGACCCAGCTGTGTTACCTGTGCAGGTGTGTCTGTCCCTCTCCCAGGTGTGTCTGTCCCTGTCCAGGTGTGTTCCCTGACCCAGCCGTTGCCTGTGCAGGTGTGTTCCCTGTCCCAGGTGTGTCTGTCCCTGTCCAGGTGTGTTCCCTGACCCAGCCGTTACCTGTCTAGCTGTGTTACCTGTCCAGGTGTGTCTGTCCCTGTCCCAGGTGTGTTCCCTGACCCAGCTGTGTTACCTGTCCCAGGTGTGTTCCCTGTCCAGGTGTGTTCCCTGACCCAGCCGTTACCTGTCCCAGGTGTGTTCCCTGTCCAGGTGTGTTCCCTGACCCAGCCGTTACCTGTGCAGGTGCGCAGGTGGCGCTGAAGCTGCTCTCCAAGGAGCGCACGCCCAGGTGGGGCTTCCTGCGGGAGTTCTGCACTCACCTGTGCCTGCGGGGGGCGCTCACCTGCCTGCAGGTGCTGCCGCTCGCCTTCGAGACCCCCACGGAGTTCGGCTTCGCCCAGGAGCTCGCACCTGCGGGGGACCTGTGTGGGCTGCTCACACCTGGGGTGAGTCACAGGTGAGGGACAGGTGGGGCAGGTGAGGGACAGGTGAGAGGGACAGGTAAGGGATGGAGCTCACACCTGCCGGGGACCTGTGTGGGCTGCTCACACCTGGGGTGAGTCACAGGTGAGGGACAGGTGGGACAGGTGAGGGACAGGTGTGAGGTGAGGGACAGGTGAGTGGGACAGGTGTGAGGTGAGGGACAGGTGAGTGGGACAGGTAAGTGGGACAGGTGGGACAGGTGAGTGGGGCAGGTGGGACAGGTGAGGGACAGGTGTGAGGTGAGGGACAGGTGAGTGGGAAGAGGGGACAGTTTTGCACCTGCGTGGGAGGACAGGTGTGCTCAGGTGACCTCTCAGGTGACACAGCACTGGCTGGGTGACAGTGCTGGGTGCCCCCAGGTGTGTCCCTGTCCCTGGTGACACTGAGTGACCCCATAGGTGTGCCCCAGGTGCCCCCAGGTGTGTCCCCCATGCCCAGGTGGGTCTCCCTGAGCCACAGGTGAATCACTGCCCCTCCCAGGTGTGTCCCAGGTGTGACCTCAGGTGTGCCCCTGGTTGTGTCTCCTTGAGCCACAGGTGAACCCTCCCAGGTGAGCCCAGGTGTGCCCCCAGCTGCCCGCAGGCGTTTTACCTGTCCCCAGGTGTGCCCCAGGTGTGTCCCCAGGTGCCACCAGGTGTGACCCCCAGGTGTGTCCCCCGTCCCCAGGTGTGACCCCCAGGTGTGTCCCCAGTCCCCAGGTGACCCCAGGTGTGTCCCCCGTCCCCAGGTGGGTCTCCCGGAGCCGCAGGTGAAGCGCTGCGCCGCCCAGGTGTGCTCGGCCCTGTCTTACCTGCACGGCCACGCCCTGGTGCACCGCGACCTGAAGCTGGACAACGTGCTGGCCTTCGACCGCGAGTGTCACCTGGTCAAGCTCGGCGACTTCGGCCTGACGCGCGTGCAGGGCTGGCAGGTGCGCCCCGCCCCCGGCCCCGCCCCTTACGCCGCACCTGAGCTGCTGCACCTGCGGGCAGGTGAGGCGCGGCGGCGGCGGCTGGAGCCCGCGGCGGACACCTGGGCGTTCGGCGTGCTGCTCTTCGCGCTGCTCACCGGCGCCTTCCCCTGGGCCTCACCTGCGCGCTCCGACCCCGCCTTCCGCCGCTTCCGGGCGTGGCACGGCCGCACCTGCGCAGGTGAGGCGCTGCCGCGGCCGCCGCGCACCTGGCGGGGGCTGGGGGGGGCGGGGCTGGCGCTGCTGCGGGGGCTGCTCCACCCCCAGCCCGCGCGGCGCTGCCCACCTGGAGAGGTGCTCAGGTACCTGGGCGGGGCCTGGGCGGGGCAGCGGGGACAGGTGAGGGGCACAGGTGAGCTCTGCAGGTGAGAGTGGGAGTGGCCACGTGGCTCTCTCAGGTGAGAGTGGCCAGGTGAGCTTTGCAGGTGAGAGCGGGAGCGGCCAGGTGAGCCCCACAGGTGGGAGTGGGAGCGGCCAGGTGAGCCCCACAGGTGACTCCCGATCCCCCAGCAGCGAGGTGGGGACACCTGGGCGGGTGAGGGCAACACCTGGACGTGGGTTAGAGACAGCTGGGCAGGTGAGGGGAACATCTGGAGATGGGCTGGGAACACCTGGAGCGAGGTGGAAACACCTGGAGATGGGATAGAGACACCTGGGAGGGGCTGGAAGCACCTGGAGAGTGATGGGCACACCTGGACAGGTGATGGGCACACCTGGGATGGGCCCAGCACACCTGGACAGGTGATGGGCACATCTGACAGTGATGGGCACACCTGGGATGGGCAGGGAGCCACACCTTGGGTTACCTGAGCTCACCTGGGCACACCTGGACACACCTGGGGTTCCCTGGGGTTCTCTGTGCTCACCTGGGCTCACCTGCACACATCTGGGCTCACCTGGGGTTACCTGAGCTCACCTGGACACACCTGGGAACACCTGGCCACACCTGGGGTTCCCTTTTTTTCCCCGTTTGGGTCTGGTGGGTGGGGGGGGGGCGGGAAAATGGGGGAAAATGGGGGGAAATTGGAATTTTTGGGGAAAATGGGGGGGAATGGGGAAAAATGAGGAAAATGGGAAAAAAAGGTGGGAAAATTAGGGCAAAAATGGGGGAAAACGGGAAAAATGGGGGAAATGGGAATTTTGGGGGAAAATGGGGAAATTGGAAGAAAATGGGAAAATGGGGGGAAAATGGGAAAAACTGGGAAAAATAGGAAAAGGGATGGGAAAATTGGGGGGAAAATTGGGATAAAAAGGGGAGGAAATGGGAATTTTGGGGGGAAATGGGAAAGAAAAAGGTGGGAAATTTGGGGGAAAATGGGAAAAGCTTGGAAAAAAGGTGGGAAAATTGGGGGGAAATTGGAGGAAAATGGGGAAAAATGGGGGAAAATGGGAAATTTGGGGAAAAAAGAGGGGAAAGGTAGAAAATGATGGAATTGAAATCGTGGAAAAGAGACGGGAAATGGTGGGGGAGGGACAGAAAAAGGCGGGAAAAGGGGAAAAAGGTGGGAAAATGATGGGAAATGTGGAATTCCCGCTGGATTTGGGAATCCGGAGGGATTTGGGATCCCTGGGGGATTGGGGTTCCAGGGATTTTAAGGATTTTGAAAGGATTTTTAAAGGATTTGAAAAGGAATTTAAAGGGAAATTTTAAGGAATTTGAAAGAAATTTAACGGGATTTGGAAAGAATTTTAAGGGAATTTTAAAGGGATTTTAATGGAATTTTAATGGAATTTTAAAGGAATTTAAAAGGGATTTTAATGGACTTTTAATGGAATTTTAAGGAATTTAAAAGTGATTTTAAAGGAATTTAAAAGGGATTTTTAAAGGAATTTTCCAGGAATTCAAAGGGAATTTTTAAGGAATTTAAAAATAAATTTATAAGGGATTTAAAAAAAATAATTTAAAGGGAATTTAAATTGAATTTTTAAGGAATTGTTAGGGAATTTTTAGAGAATTTAAAAAATGTTTAAGGGAATTTTTAAGGGTCAGGAGGATCAAAATCCCAAACTTTTCCCACTGAACCAACACCGAAATTCCTTCATTCCCACTTTTTCTCATCCCAGAATTTCCCTCAAAATCCAAGAAAATTCCTTGGGAAAAAAAAATCCTGACCCTCTTTTCCCCAACCCCGGAGGGTTTTACGACAAAGCCACCAAAATCCCCAAAATTCCTCAAATTCCACCGAATCCCCCAATCCCATAAACCCCAAAATCCTCAAATCCCAATCCCATAAACCCCAATCCCACTAATCCCATCAATCCTATAAACCCCAAACAAATAAACTCCAATCCCATCAATCCCATCAATCCCATCAATCCCAATCCCATCAATCCCAAATCCCATCAATCCCATCAATCCCACAAACCCCAATCCCATCAATCCCATAAACCCCAATCCCATCAATCCCAAATCCCATAAATCCCATCAATCCCAAATCCCATAAATCCCATCAATCCCAAATCCCATAAATCCCATCAATCCCACAAACTCCAATCCCATCAATCCCAAATCCCATCAATCCCATCAATCCCATCATTTCCCAATCCCATCAATCCCACAAACCCCAATCCCATCAATCCCACCATTCCCCATCCCCTCAATAAAATGGGATCCCATAAATACCCAATCCCCCACTCCCATCAACCCCATCAATCCCAGTCCTCTCAATCCCATCAATTCCATCGATCCCAAATCTCATCAATCCCCAATCCCATAAACTCCAATCCCATCAATCCCATCAATCCCCAATCCCATAAAACCCATAAACCCCAATCCCATCAATCCCACCATTCCCCATCCCCTCAATAAAATGGGATCCCATAAATACCCAATCCCCCACTCCCATCAACCCCATCAATCCCAGTCCTCTCAATCCCATCAATTCCATCGATCCCAAATCTCATCAATCCCCAATCCCATAAACTCCAATCCCCCAACCCCATCAATCCCATCAATCCCATAAACCCCAATCCCATAAACCTCAGTCCCATAACCCCCAATCCCCAATCCCATCAATCCCACCATTCCCCATCCCCTCAATAAAATGGGATCCCATAAATACCCAATCCCCCACTCCCATCAACCCCATCAATCCCAGTCCTCTCAATCCCATCAATTCCATCGATCCCAAATCTCATCAATCCCCAATCCCATAAACTCCAATCCCCCAAACCCATCAATCCCATCAATCCCATAAACCCCAATCCCATAAACCTCAGTCCCATAAACCCCAATCCCCAATCCCATCAATCCCACCAATCCCCCAATCCCCAATCCCCACTCCCGGCCCTCCCCGTTCCCGGTGCCCTTTGGAATTCCGGCGTCTCCGGGGCCGAAGTTCCCGGGGCGGCGCCTCCGGCCGGGAGCGGCTCCGGAGCCAGGTGGGGTTTGGGATCCGGGCGGGGATCCCGGGGGATTTTTGAGATCCTGGAGGATTTTTGGGATCATTTCCCTCAATCCCAGCGGAATTTTGGGAATATTTCCCTGGATCCCAGTGGATTTTTGGGAACATTTCTGTGGATCCTGGTGGATTTTTAGGATCCCCATGGATTTATGGGAAAGTTTTCCCAGATCCTGGTGGATTTTTGGGATCCCAGTGGATTTTTGGGAATGTTTCCCTGAATTCCAGTAGATTTTTGAGAACATCTCCATGGATCCCGGAGGACTTCTGGAATCCCAGAGGATTTTTGGGAATATTTCCCTCAATCTCAGTGGATTTTCAGGATCATTTCCCCAAATCCCAGTGGATTTTTGGGAATATTTTCCTGGATCCCGGAGGATTTTTGGGAACGTTTCCCTCCGTCCCAGTTTCTGTGGATTCTGGTGAATTTTTGGGAATCTTCCCTGGGATCCTGCAGTATTTTTGGGATCCTGGTGGAATTTTGGCAATATTCTCCTGGATCCCAGTGGATTTTTGGGAATATTCCCCTGGATCCCAGTGGATTTTCAAGATCCGGGTGGATTTTTGGGAATGTTTCCTGGAATCCCAGTGAATTTTCGGGAATGTTTCCCTGGATCCACGTGGATTTTTAGGAATATTCCCCTGGATCCTGGTGGATTTTCAGAATCCCAGTGGATTTTTGTGATCCTGGTGGATTTTTGGGAACGTTTTTCCTGATCCCGGTAGGTTTTTGGGATCCTGGTGGGTTTATGGGAATGTTTTCCCAGATCCCAGAGGATTTTTGGGATCCCAGAGGATTTATGGGATCATGGTGGATTTTTTTGGGAATATTTCTGTGAATCCCGGAGGATCTTTGGGATCCCAATGGAATTTCAGGAATGTTTCTCTGGATCCACGCGGATTTTTGGGAACATTTCCCTGGATCCCGGTGGAATTTTCGGGATCCCGGTGGGTTTTCAGGAACGTTTCCTTTTCCCCTTTTCCTTTTTCCTGTTTTTCCCATTTTTCCCCTTTCCCCTCTCCCACCCCATTCCCGCTTTCCCCAACCCCAATTCCAGACCCTGACCCTGGAATTTCTCCTTCTCCACAGGAACGGGATCGGGATCAGCACCGGCACCGGGATCGGGATCGGGATCGGGATTGGGACTGGGATCAGGATCAGGATTAGGAGTGGGATTGGGATCAGGAATAGGATCGGGATCAGGATTAGGATCAGAATCGGGATTGGGACTGGGATCAGGATCAGGAAGAGGATCAGGATTAGGATCAGGATCAGGATTGGGATCAGAATTGGGATTGGGACTGGGATCAGGATCAGAAATAGGATCGGGATTAGGATTGGGATCGGGATCAGGGTCGGGATCAGGATCAGGAAGAGGATCAGGATTAGGATCGGGATCAGGAAAGGGATCAGGAATGGGATCAGGAATCCCGGCCCCGCTGCTGCTCCTGGCGCTCTCCGCGCTCCATCCCATAATAGGTGAGTCTGTGGGATTGGGAATCGCTCAGGTGGGAAAGGAACTTTGGGATCCCGATCCCCACGGAGCCGTTGTCCTGTCCTGGGAATGGGGAGCCCGAATTCCGGGAATGGGAAACGCCAAAAACCCCGGGAATGGGAAACGCCAAAAACCCCGGGAATGGGAAACCCCAAAAACCCCAGGAATGGGAAACGCCAAAAACCCCGGGAATGGGAAACCCCAAAGAATCCTGGGATATTGAACCCAAAAATTCCGGGAATGGGAAACCCCCAAAACCCCAGGAATGGGAAATGTAAAAATCCCGAGAATGAGAAACCCCAAAAATCCCAGGAACAGGAAATCCCAAAAACCCCAGGAACAGGAAACCCCAAAAACCCTGGGAATGGGAAACCCCAAAGAATCCTGGGACACTGAACCCAAAAAAATTGGGAATCTTGAACCCAAAAATTCTGGGAATGGGAAATTCCCAAAAC